GCTATGAGAGGTCTTCGGTTGGACGCACTCTCAGTCATTCGAAGTGTACGCTGGTCTTTCGTGTTTCAAACCACCACTCATTATTCGTCTAGATCTTTGCCAATCACGAAGAGCAGCGATCATGGATCATAGAAGAAATTTTGTCGTCACTCATCAAGCTCTCTAACAGTCATAAGAAGGCTGGGCAGTTTCGGTCAGTGAAGACTTACAGATGTTGAGTGCGAGCAAAGTTGACATATCGTGTTCAGCTTACGCGATGGTCGCTCCATTCGAACAGTCTCTGCACTACTATTTCAGCTCGTACAAACGTCTGCCCATGATGTCCGTGTTGCAGCGCGCAAGATTGCCAAACGTCGCCAGAGTCGCCAAGCTCTTCGTCGACAGGACAGCATGACCAATGAGAAGTCGGGTGAACCTTTGATGGATGAATTGGACGCGGAGGTCAGTGCTAATGTTGGCAGTATCTCATACCTAACCGCCCGTGTAGGAGATACAGCTTTATATTGCGGGGTTAGAGTCCGCAATGAATGCTGCAAAAACGATAGTCGTGTATTTGACACAGAGGTGAGCAAAATGTTGTTGACTTCAGTGTTTGATAACACCATGTCGCTAGATCTGGAAAAGGGAAATTGACCAAAAATTCCAACGAGGCCGAATACCGAACGATTTTTGACAACCTTATTTCCGACCTTCTTGTCGTCCTGTATTGGCCAGAATGGCCAGCTGCAAGTTTCTTACTCAGCATTGTTTGTAAATTCATGGTGAGTCTTGCACCCTTGGCTGTGAAACCCTTTTAAATGCTGTCACAGGTTTCTTCTCTAGATGACGTGAAAACGAGCACTCAAACGGACACAAACGCCGCAAAAAGCATTGCGCTCGATCATCTCGGTGTCATCGCGGCACGGATACGCTCAAGCTCTTTGAAGGTAAAAGTACACGACCATGACAGGCACGGTCTCCACTCTCTTGATGAGGTCTGTATTTCCGAGTCTTATCAACAACAATCTCCTTATATTTTGCAGGTCATCTCTTCCGGCGATGTCAAACACTTGGACATGCTCATATCTCGACACCAATCAATATTTTCGCATCTTTATAAAAGAGCTTCTGAAGATCAAGCGTATGACGTTAGTGACTTCAGATACATAGTTACATTCCTGCTGACATGCAAAAGAGTGCAAATGATCTGACGGCGGCTACTTGGGGTCAAGAATTAGCAGTTGCACTCAAGCAACTTAGCAGTTCAGCGCAGGAGGATGACGAGGGTCTACAGTCAAAGCTTTACGCTAAGCTCAAGTCTGCCCTTAGGGACGTTTGGAAGGATATGTCAAATGATGTTTTTGATGTCGGGTAAGCTTCTAAACCACCTCTGAATCGCTCGAGTTGACACACTCTGGCAGCTCGCAGGAAGAAATAAATAAGGTCGATCGTTACGCTGAAGAGATTGGGACTATTCAGACGTTACGAAATTCCTTCGGGCCAATTCTTAATGTCGTCCTGCTTGCACTTGATGCGCCGGCTGTTTTCATGCGTACAAAAGCATTACGAGCACTTGGACAAATTGTAAACAGTGACTCCAGCATCTTAGCAGCAGTGCGTGAACAAGTTCATCGACTCAGCACTTACTGACACGCCACAAGCCAAATGTCCGTCGGGCGATCGAAAGTCATTTGCTCGATAGTTCCCCAGCTGTGCGCGACGCCGCTGTAGAACTAATTGGGAAGTATATGATAGAGTCGCCGGAGGTTGTTGGGGATTATTACACAAAAATTGCCGACCGTATCGCAGTAAGAATATTCTATCGCTCAGAAGCTCATTTAGTTAACTCTTGCAGGATACGGGACTCGGAGTTCGGAAACGTGTGATCAAACTCCTCAAACAATGTTACGCTGGCACAGAGGATCTTTCTCGACGTATAGATATCGCGACAAAGTTGGTCCTTCGCATGCTGGATGAGGATGATACAGTAAAAGATTTGGCCATCAAGACGGTTGAGGAATTATGGTTCCAGGCTGCATCACAGAGTGGAGTTCCTAAGACCCGCTCAGTGCTGTCATCTGGTCTTAGCCAAGACAAGGGACCACTTCTCTCCAAGGTCTCAGTCATCATGGGCGTATCAGCCAATTTTAAGGATCGACAATCACCGTTGGAGGATATGCTACATAAAGTAATATCCAGCCAAGAAGCTGCTAGCGCATCATATTTGCGAGGAAATTACTCTGAAATCTGCGAAGTCCTCATTGATGGGCTGGTAGATGCCTCGGACTTGCCAGGATTCGTACGTGCACGTGGCTCATTGTATCGATGTTGTTGACACATTCTTTTGGCAGACCGTGCACAACTGTGTCAGGACTATATATCTATTCACTACAGCATACCCCTCTGTCCTCTCAGGAGCAAACGCGTCTACTTTGCTCCCGTATCTCAAGAACCCTTCCTCGGTAAGAATCCACCATCCTAAGCATACAAAAATCTCAATGCGCATTAGTCCGAAGAGCTTGCTGTTTCCGATTATTTACTCAAGATTTTCCGTATATCGATACCCCACATGCCCAAGACTGCAGTAAAGTTTGGTCAGGAACTACAGCTTGTGTTGCAACCGATGATTGTTAAACCATCCCATATCGGCGGAGTCGTGGTGAGTTATCTGGTCATCGATGTTGATTATTTACCCAGTCATACCATAGAGCCTGCAAGAAAGTGTAGCTTGCATGTGCGGAGCAGTGCAGCATCTCACGCATGATTTCAATCGTCTGGTCGCTCTAGTCAAGTCATGCAATGGTACGAAGACTTTGTTTTGGACAGATTCACACTCACGTTATGCTCTAGCTCGATTGCAACAGGCCATCGCTCGCCCATCCTCTTACCAAATGACAGCGGTTGAAAACAGGACATTATCCATTCTGATATTTATTGTCGCCTTACTCGGTGAACATTGCGACTTTGACCGCCTCCGCGATGATTATCCAGGTAAGCTGCCACAAATGTCCACAATTTCAGTAGTTTGACATCGATTCAAGACTTCATTTCAGAATTGAACTCTGTGTCTCCCGTACCGTCTTTTGGTTTAATTATCTGACTTATCGAACTCATCGTCATTTCTTCCAGGGACCTATCGTGGAGCACATTTACAAGAGTTTACTGGAGTTATATGAGAAGTACAATGACGTTGGTCTAAAGGGACGCATCCTTCAGTGTCTCGGTGAGCCTCATCGCTGTTTCTAGTTCGTGACCTTCTCACCTTCATGAAGGCTTCTTGTTCCGTGCACAACCAACATTAATGACGCTGGGGCGGTCCGCTTCCATCATGGATGATATTTTTCACTCCTCTGATCTTGAAAGCCGCGGGCGACTTTTACGGATCATGCACGATTTCTTAGTGTCCGAATCTATGAAGCACCATGAGGAGCAGAAAGGTTGGGGTCGTATTTTGTGCCCTTGGACTATACTTATTTTCCGCAGGAGGCACCAAAGGCAAGCAAGGTGGGGTAGTAGATATGGCGGAATTGGTAGGGAACACAGATGGTTTTGCTGACTCCGGGTAGATCAAACAATCGTTCTCGCAAGGATCTACTAATAAAGATACAGTGTCAGCTCAGCCGTTGTTCAACGATACATATCTTCAATCTTGGACGCAGCCTTGTCTCAAAACTCTCAGATCCAGAATGTTGCTGTTGACATTCTCAGCTTCACCATCAAACAGGGTCTCGCTCATCCGTTGCAAGTACGTGCTTTAGTCTTCTCACGATTATTCATTGACCGCAGTTTCGGTAGTCCTTCCCTGTCATTGTTGCATTGGAAACTTGTCCAAATAATGCCATCAGCTCACGGGCTAATGCACTCCACGCAATACTCTGGAGTAAACACGCGTCTTTGTTGAATGCTCGATACATCATTAGTGCAAGACAGTCGTTCGACTACCAGAAAAAGATCTCCACAGATGCCGTCAAAGGTTTGACTTCACTATTTGTTGTAACGTGTCCTGAACGTTAGTGTAGGTTATCGAATGCAAGTAGAACCAGCGGCATTGCTTCAGAGGTGGTATTCTCTCGTGCGGGAGAAAAGAGCCTCTCGTCAAGACTTCCTGAGAGCTCTCCTAAAATCTTTTGATATCAACCCTTCTTTGAAATCATCACAGGTAATGTACTGCCTTGTACCGTTTCATAATGCTCACAGGAAACTAGGATGACGTTGACTTCGCAAGATACATGGCAGAGAATTTTGCCTCTCTTGACTACAGAACACAAGAGGAAGTCATCACTGTTATTAAACACTTGACTTCCGTATTATCGACCGCTGGCATGCAAGTGATCGACCTTCTCTCGCCTTCTCATCTCCTAGCGCAGCTGCATGATACTCAACCTCTCCATAATGCACCTCACCAGCCACCAATGTCTGACTTGCTTTCGCGTTCAATTGATCAGGAAACCCCAAATGCTCCATCTTCCTCTGCCCCATCTGAAATGTCCCACGTCGACGTTGCTATCATGAGAAGCTCAATAACTATCGGGATTGTCATGCTTCTTAAAGCCCATCTCAAGTCTCTTTACGGGCTTTCAGAAGAGTGGGTCTTTTGTACAGAGATCCATCCATTCTATTAATCTTTCTTCTCCTCTCAGGAAATGTTCTAAATTTGTGCTCGGCAAGAAGAGCGCTATCGGTGATAAACCTGCTATCAGACGTCACCAACTTCCAATTACGTGGACCCGCCTCCCTTATGCCACTACTTCTCTCGTTCAGGAGCACGACCTGATGGTTCACAGGCAGACGGTGAGTCTTCTTCCACTTTACTCCTTATAAGGCTGACAGTTATCTCTAGTTTATTGAAGTTTGGAATGAGGATGGTGTTACTGCGGAACCTGAAGATGACGATGCATAGATGTGTTTTTACTGCTCGTAGCCGCTCATTATCGACCTATTTTACATAAATATCATCGTACACATTCCCAATTGTAATGTAACATAGCAATGTCACGAGATGACTTATAATTCATAGATGTATTCTGGCGAAGAACTAACCTGAGATTTTCACCGTGGAACCGTCTACAAAAAGTACAGGACCCTTTGGCATCTCATCAATAGCTTTTTTAATAGCATCATCCAGATCTGGGTCATCTTCAAACTTCCATGACAGTTGTCCACCATACGACTGTGGGATATCCCTCTCATCGATCAACAATCTCAAAGTAGGACCCGGATCTTTGCCCAAGATGTGAATTTTGTTGCGAGTGCCTTCGTCGAACCAGGTCTGTGGAAGAAGGTCAGCATTGAAAGAAATATACATACTCGTGAAAGACCTTGATCCAGTTCCATATTGTAGGAAAGAAAGATGGTGAGTTTACAATAGCGATTGTACTGAGGGTCTCTGGATAATTCGCCGTAGCCATCGTAGAGGCCACCTGAAGATGGCTTCGTAGAGACCACATGGCAGATAAGGATACCTGCTCCAAATCAATTATAGTGGTCACTGATGATACTGGTGTTGGTGCAGCGAGATGGGAGCATAACGGCAGTACAAAGCGCGTCATCGCCTCGTAAAGTACAACACTACAGCTGCCGCTTCAGCTAACGATGTGTGGTAATTTGAATACGTACTGACATTCGCTGGTATCGGCGGTCTGAAGGCACAGACTCGAGTTCCTTCCGCAGCGACGCGTCTAAGGAGGCAAGACGGTATACATAGACCGGCAGGCCAGCCTGTGGACCAAGATGTTATCGTTGGATTGCCGATGACCGAAGTAAATTACATCTGACCTTGTCGCGACGACCTGTCCATCGAGGGTAGAACCTCCTGGCTGATTCCATCTCGTTAGCCTCAAAGGTACGAAATAGCTCGTCAACGTTATGTTGTTTGCGCCACGCTTCTGTGTCAGAAAACTGCTTTTGTGCTTTGTCTACGTCATACCGCCGGGCTCGTAGGAAGCGCCTGAGACAACGTGAGCCTGAATCGAACTCAATAACACAGCGTATTCAAAGACTGGAACGTACAGTAAAGTTAGGTCATCGTGGGATGCAGCTGTGTCATCGGAGGCAGGCTGGTACAATCCTGCGTTTCGGAGCTTTGCCTTGAACGCCTCAAGTGATGATTGTGCTCGATCGTGGCTCACAGGTGTTGATATGATAGTTACTGGCACAGATTCCTCGGGGGTCTTATTTGGAAGTGTATCTGGCATATCGTACCCTATCAGAGCTGGATTGACAATGGAAGATGAACTTGAAGAAGGGCTGACAAGTTGAAGTTGCAACGGGCTGTTCAATAAGTTACTAACGAAATCCGATCGATGACGCAGAGTTGCTGAAAGGGGATACCATTACTAAGTCCGTTTATGTAATTAAAGACATTTGTTCATACATATGCCCGCCCATAGAGCACTGAAAGTACTGAACTACAGTGCTGTGATATACATACTCCAGCTTAGTCAGGTACTAGTGGTTTCTCAGCACTATCACAAAGCCACGTTGGAATAATATCTACATGTGTATGACAGTGCATCGATGCTGTGACTATTAATTTTACGCAACAATCAGGTTATATATCAAGCCTTCGAACCACATGTCTCCCAAAGCCCCTTTAAAAGTGTTTTCTCCTCCTTGTTCATGAATAGCATAATCGTGCCAAACCGCTGGACTTTTGATAACGACACCAAGTATTCACGCACATCACTAGGAGCCGCGATTTGTAGATCTATGACTCGTTCAAAATGCTGAAGTATTGATGAAAGCAAAACTGGCTCCAGCGATGCCTGGAACATCTTAGGAAGGGACAATGGTGGTATTCTCTGAACAATTCAGGTTAGAAATGTGGGGCAGAGAGGTCGAATTACATACAGAGAAGATGTTCCAACGATCTTCGTCTTTCATGTGAGATTCCCACATCTTTGTGAAGTTAAAAAGAGTCATAGGAGCTTGTGGGACAGTGTTGACCAAGGCTGGAAGCGAAGTTGTTACTGGAGCTACGCCGGTCAATTTATCATCCCTAGCAAACACTGTATGGTTGCCAGATGGCCGGAATATCCCCCCACCAATGCGTGATGGCTTTGCAGTGTCCCGTAACTGCTTTGCGTCTTTGAAACTTTCTGTTTTTGCTGAAGTAACTTGCTTCGGTGGAGGTGGCATAGTGCTCTGATCTGGTTTGATGCTTGATGAACTGGGTTCATTACTCCGAGGTAACGCTCGGGAAGAAATCGGCTGTAGCAGCCCATGATCTCCGAGACCTTTAAGCTGCTTTTCAGCATCTTCTACTGCGAGCTCTGCACCATGATGATGTGACGCTCTAGACGCTTCCTCGACGATCTCTATTGGAACGCGCCTCCGCTTTATCGCTAGAGTAGCCCCTGACGGTACAGTTATTGAGCGAGGGGTATTCTGTGGGTCAGAAGTCGCTTCAACAATCACGGTTTGTAATGTTTGCAGTACCCACTGCACTGTCATGCTTTTGCTTATGCTGTTGAATTAATTTCTCGACTTCTAAAAGCTCCTGCTTCACAGACTGATTTGAGGGTTCCAATTCGGATGCCCCCACGAAATCTATGAGATGAATGTTGAAATTCTTCATTATTTCTGCGTGGAAAATATTGTACTCCCCTGCACGGGCTTGATCCAAACAACCGAGAGCCTTTCGAGCCTGACCTCTCCGAAATAGAGCTTTTACATTGTTGGGGCTCAGCTTCAAAACGGTCGTACAATCTCGTTCTGCATCCTCATTCCTATAAACACAGGTTGGTTAATTGGTGGCAGACTTATGAGTGATATATAACAAAATGAACGTACTTGCCTAGTTTCAAGTACGCTGCTGCACGGTTGAGAGGAAATGTCGGGTCATTGGCATTCGCAAGAATTGCGGACGTATAATGGCCGATCGCAGCTGGGTAATCACCCGTCTTGAAGGCTGCATTGCCCTGTAAAGCGGAAGCCGTAAGAGGATGACGCCTGAAATGAGCAATGTTGACGACAACTCACCTGATCTTTCGCTATTTTCGCTCTATCTGATGCCATAGGATTTGGCGTCAAAGGTGCTGCTGGCAGCGGTAAAAAGCCGTGGTAAGTCAGCTAACGTAAAGCCAAGAGTAATGATATAAGTACAAATCGAGTCAGGTCTTATGAAATATGATATCCTCAGTCCCCAGTGTACGGCGCCACGCGATCAGCGCAGGCGTGAGTATTGAAGGCGAGCTAATTAGGTATGTATACGGTATTCGCTATTTTCACAAGACAGCTTTCATTATTTTGTCTGCTCAACAGCTTCCATTAGACCCAATTCATTTCTTGACTTAAGGAGCCTTAGCAGTGTCGGCACTTGAGCGGGGAGCATCTGTCTTATAATGGCAAATGTATCGCTACCTCGGGCCAGCGGTGCCAGCACAACAGTAGTTCCCCATCGTACGTTTACTCCACCATGTCACTCTCGACTAATCCTGACATTCCACGCGATGGACAAGCGTCCGTTAGCCGTCCCATCAGCTCAGCTGCGCCGCTTCCTCGCTTGCTACACTCCCTTGGAGATGAAAATAAATCTGTCCTCAGTTTAATGGCGAATGCCGACCATATCTTTACTGGTGGACAAGGTCAAGATATTGCGGTGTGTGCCAGGGCTTACTGATCAAGTCATTATTCTAATGGCTATGCTATCCAAGGTCTGGGATAGACACAAGTTTACGCTCAAGACTTCCCTTCGTGGTCATAGCGGAAGCATACTGGCCCTTGAGCTTGCGGAGGAGAAAGGCTGGCTTTTTAGTGCTTCAGGTAGGTCTTCTCCGAATACTTTCATTTACCATCTTCTTAGCACTATGACTAGGTGACAGTACTGTCAGAGTATGTTTATCTCCTTTGATAGGTAGGCTTCCACTGACGGAAGTCAGGTATGGTCCACAGTAACCTTTCTGCCAGTCTACATCCTGAATCCATACCTTGAAACGGGAGCAGGCGATTTATTCTCTCTCGCTTGGAACCCCGCAATGCAGATCATCTACATTGGTTGTCAGAACACTTCGCTTCAATGGCAAGGGTTCTGTAAGTTTCAGCTCGACCGACACGTGGAAGAGCAATGGGGCTCAGGCACATCAACTCCAACTCGTAAAGTCCACAAATTCTTCGATAGTTATCCACAATACACCCATCGCCCTGCGGATCTTCAAGCTAACAACTTCAGCTTGTCTTCCTCAATCAGTCAGGGCGCATTCGTTGGGACTAACGCTTTGATAAATATCTCAGCAGCGAATGTCATCGACTCTGCTCATTTTGGCTACATATATTGCATGGCTCTTTTGCCTTCGACAAGGGAAGGCACAGGATACCTTGCACAAAAGCCGGCGCAGAGTTATTATCTCGTCACTGGAAGTGGGGATGAAACCGTCAAGGTTTGTCTCATCTCAAGTTAAGGGATGCGTCAGCCGACTTCGTACTGTTGATAGATTTGGCGCTGCAACCCATCCGGTCTCAACATGATGCACTCTTTCGACTGTCAGCATGGTGCTGTGCTTTCGATCGTTGCTTCCGGGGAGACAATATATGCTGGATGCCAAGATGGGCACGTGAAGGTGCTTGACTTCGAAACACGGACTCTTGTTAGATCGATCATTGTTCAAGAAGTAGGCGCATCCATGTATATTTTAGTGCGGAACCTCATATTTATATACCAGAATGTCGACGTCCTTTCGCTATCGATCATGCAGTCTGATCTTTACACATGCTCTGCCAATGGTCACATTCATGTAGGCGTGGAAGGTTACTTTTTTCGTCACCACCTGAATTACCTTTGTACCTGACAGAGATGGTCTTCTTCGTTTGATTGCATAGCGTCGTGGGAAGCTCACGACGGTATTGTGCTCTCCTCTGTTGTCTCCTGTTCGTCTGATCGCAAGTCGTTTTGTCTCATTACTGGGGCGAACGATGGTTTCGTTAAGGTGTTGTGTCGTAGTGTTTGTTGATGACTTATGAATACTGACAGCCTGCAGGTTTGGGCAATTACTCCAGAAGCCGAGGTCAACCTTTCCCAGTTGCACGAGACCAGCGCGTTGATATCCGATTCAGATGTTACCCAAGGCATGTCATGTTGCGATCTATGCCCCTCAATCACTCAATTTTATAGGAGATACAATGACTTATGCACTCTCCAAGTTCGTGTCAATACCGAGTGTAAGCAGCGACCCGAATCATAGAGAAGACTGTCGTCAAGCCGCAATTTGGCTGAAGAAGGGCTTGAACCAGCTAGGTGCTCAGTCGACTCTGGTAAATTTACTCGTTTCGTCCCAGCATTTTTTGCTTATATACAGCATCTCAGCTACCTACGCGCGAAGCCGGAAGTCCCCTTGTTCTAGGGACTTTTCATGGAACTGAAGGGAAACATCCAAAGCCAAGAATACTATTTTACGGGTACTACATCTGTTTCATAAGTCTCATGTCCCCTCATAATTTAAACAACAGGCACTACGACGTTATTTCTGCCCCTCCGGATGGGTGGGATACCGATCCCTTCACTGTGACAGGCCGTAACGGTTATCTGTATGGACGAGGGGTGACGGATAATAAGGGCCCTATTATGGCTGTGGCTTGCGCTGCTGCCGAACTTCTTCAAGACCGCGCTCTTGGCATTGATCTTGTTTTTCTTATCGAGGGTGAGGAGGAGACTGGAAGTGTTGGATTTGTTGATGCAATAAAAGAACACAAAGTGGGATCGCGTCATATTACGCTCACACGACCACGCTCATTTCCGTTATTTTTCAGCACCAGATCGGGAACATAGATGCCATCTTACTCAGGTATGTTGGTATCGATCATCTCCCTTTCTTTTTATTCATTTGCGGTAGTAACTCGACCTGGATTTCTGAACATCATCCTTGTATTACATATGGTCTTCGCGGTGTCGTACACTCAACAGTGGAGGTACGAACTTTCGCTATTACGGTACCTCAAGCTGACATGTAGTGCAGATAACAAGTGGTGTACCAGACTTGCACTCTGGTGTCGAAGGAGGTGCTGCCCCGGAGCCAATGTTTGATATGTAGGTTAAAGAAACCCCAATGGTCAGATCCGGACTCACGTTAATATCAGGATTCGCCTTCTCGGAACTCTGATGGATGGTGAGGGAAAGGTGACTATACCAAATTTTTGTTCGTCACATCCACTGCGCATCGATTTTGGTTGGCTAGGCTGATGTGACGTTCACAGACAACCCTGTTCGCCATCAGACCGAGGCCGAAAAGCAATTGTACGACGTTTTGTCCAATGTGACCCAAACGCCTGGCTCTGTGCTATCTTCGCGATGGAGTGAGCCGTCCTTGACTGTACATGATATAGACGTATCTGGACCTAGGAGTAAGTCAGGCATTCCACTCTTATCTGAATGTTACTCATCATGCCAAGACTCAACTGTAATCCCGGGAAAGGTCACTGCGAAGGTGTCCCTCCGCATTGTTCCAGATCAGGATTTGCAAACCATTGCTCAGTCTTTGGTTAATCATCTTAGAGGGATCTTCGACAAATTCCAATCACCTAATCAGCTTTCTGTGCGTGATACATGTTATCCATGATTCTACGGCTCACGATATCTCATAGGTGAGCATTGACCGCACGGCCGATTGGTGGCTCGGCAATTTGGATGGCCCCTGGTTCAAAGCACTCAAGGCTGCTGTGCACGATGAATGGAATGTAGAGCCATTACTCATCCGAGAGGGTGGCGTGAGTGATTTGCGTGGATCAGGCTTCCTCTTGCTCACTGCTTATGAAGTCCATCCCATCGATTCCTTATCTAGAGAAAGAATTTGGCTGCCCAGCACTTCACCTCCCACTAGGACAAAGCACGGTGCGTCCAGTCTTGACTGTTTTATTCCTTGAAGCTAATTATCAGCAACCAAGGACCAAGCTCATTTGCCTAATGAACGCATTTCTCTGGATAATTTATCTAGAGGAAAGTCGGTCATAAAGCGTTTCTTATCGATAGCTACAAATTTTCATGCCCCGACCGAGTGAAAAATGCTTGGTCTTGATATGCACGTACGCGCTCCCTATTATAATTTCTTTTTTTGAAATTCTACAAGAGGATATTGTGGACAGTTAATTACCGTAGGCTCTATTTGCAACCACATACAGTCACAAGTTGTGCAACTTGCTGAAACCTCGTAAGAACGAATTCACATACATTCGTTCCAAACTTATCAGTCACTTGACCGCTATTCAACTGAGTTGTACGTGCATGTATGACGTTCATCCTGATATCCGTAAGTTCCAGCCTTGTTCCAGCCGGGTTCGAGATCAGCCCGGCTTACTATGGTCCAGTGGCGTAGCTATATTGTGACACAGGGCGATGTGCACGGTTCAGTCGAAAATTAATTCGACAAAGAAAGAGAAATAGTTACAGTAACTGAACATATGTCTAGACCTAGTATACGTATGAAATAATGAAATTGAACTAGCCCGATGAATACACGAAGAACACAAGTCGAAGTTTGTGCACGAGATCATGCATACTATGCATCGTGTGCGGCATTGACGGTGTCAAAATTGGCGGCACGGGACATTCCGGTTAGGTCACATGCACAGCTCGGGCTACCTACGTGAGATCACGAGTCTAGACGTCTATGTTCCAGCAACATCAAGTGACCCGGTGAGAGTCATGAGGTCTTCTAGCCTATATATTATTCCTATAGTTTTTGGCGCATACTAAGCCACAAATAATCATTATCAGTTTCCATCAATCCAATCAGCCTGACCACAGCCGCTCAGCGTAATTTGTCCAACTGTGCAGTGATCAAATCCAACAAGACTCCCATGACTTCTGTGACTTCACAACGTGCTGTGCGGTGGCACCCGCCCTCTTATGATATCCGTATCGAAACCCTTCCCATTCCAAAGTATGTTGATTTCTCGCTTGTGGCATCATAGGATCGCACTGAGTTGCATTTTGTTTCAAGGATTGAGCACCCAGATGATGCGATAGTAAAGATTCAGGTTCGCAGATGTGCAGCAAACTTCATCAACTCTTGAGTTTTAATGCACGCACCCAAAGCTTGCTGGGCTATGCGGTAGTGATTTACATATGTACCGTGGAACAGCGAGGCTCACGGAACCGTAAATAAATCCAATC